TTCATCACCCCACTTAACAAAACTCCCCCAGACATCCAAAACACATTCAGCTTAATCCAATGGTTAACTGTTTTCATTAAATGTAGGGAGAACGTAGGGAATGATGTTTTAAAAGGATGTAAATCACAACTTAAATGTCTAATAACATAAAATTAGGAAACAGATGAATTCAGGTATGAAGCTGTAATGAGCCGAGCGTCTTTCTGTGAACACCTGTGATGCAATCAAAGAGTTTGTTTCTCGACTTGTCTCGACACAAACTGCAGCTTGTGAATGTGACTTCTCCAGAGAGTGCTGTGTGCTGATCACATGCAGCTCTGTGGTTTGTGTGGTTCATGTGGCCATCTAGTGGGCTGCTGAAAAACTTCCTCTTTGGAATCTAAATGAGGGGATAGAAGATTGTTTTTGTTGATTTTATATTCAACACATCATATAAGTAACTAAACACTGTTTCCCACTTAATGAACACAGCCGTTCACTTGAGCTCTTAAATCAGAAAAATACGTCAAGATTTCTCAACATTTCATTTGAAAAAGAAAGTTTCTCTGCAGTTCAATTAGCTATCTTCAATATTGATTGTGCTTCCTTTTTTAATTTTCATATACAGTATATATATATATATATATATATATATATACAATAATTTTTACTTTATTTGATGGGGCAGTGGATACAGTAGAAAAACAGAGAGAGAGAAAGAGTGAATGACATGTGGGAAAGGAGCCACAGGTTGGACTTGAATCCGGGCCGCCAGCTTGGAGGACCATGGCCTCTGTACATGGGGCACAACCTAACCGCTAGGCCATCTGCGCCCCTAGACGAGCTTTAGTACTCTGCCATCTTTAATGGACTGATGAGGTGATTGTGTTGAAATTGGATCTTTATGAATAAATGAGTGAGCGGGAGATCTTTTTTGTTAAAGATAATCAGAACCTTTTTCCCAAAAAATGAAATATAGACAAAAGTAACGTCGCTTAATCATCACTTCTGGGCCTCTGTGGTGATGTCGTCTGCAGAGACCCTGTCCTCTGCCTGGATTTTGGTGTTTGGTTTGTTTTAGTTGACTCGGGACGTTTCTGAGTGGGTTTGTTTTCCCCAGCCAATGACAGCGCGCAGGTGAGTTTAAGTGGATGCCATTCTTGGATTGGATGTGATTCAAATACAACAGATGTGGACAATAAAACATAATCACAGTCAGTTGAAACACCTAGCTGATAAAGCTTTTTCTACAACGAGGTGTCACACTGTGCTGTCATTCAGTACGTTACACTCTGTCATGATGATTCTGTTTAATAATGTGGGAGGAAACAATCGACTACTTTTTCATTGTTCATCCATATTCTCCGTCTCCGTCTACAAACTACATCTGTAAACTCTACAACAAACAGCCAATTACGATGTGCTCTATCATCATCACACAAACGTACAGTCAATCATATAGTGTAACAGATGCAGGATCCCGAGCAGATCTGGTACCTATACACCGGGCTTGGTAGTCAAAATGTTGAATACTTTGACACTTTTGATACCTCATGTTTGAAAATGACAAAATCTCTGACGTTAAAATGTGCAATAGAATCAAAAAGAACCAAAGCGTTAGAAAACAACAACACAGAGTCATATTTTCAACCAAAAGCTGCAGCAGAGAACTCGGTCTAAGCTGCACTAATACGTTAACATAAGAAATGTTGGAAATGCTTTTGTGCAATCGAGCGTCTGCAGAGGTTTGCCTGCAAATTTTGGTAAATGACAACAAAAAATTACCAAATATTGGGCGGCCTAGGACTTCTATTTTTGTCGTCATGGTGTTGAGACAGGTATCGGTATAATTTTATTGTTACTAGGATCACATTTAAGTTTAAAATTCTGGTTTTAAGACACAAGCAGCAGTCAAGAGGTCATGCTTGGAGGATTACTGGAAGTACAGAAACAAAAAACCCTTGTGATTTTTCTAAGAACTGTGTGTAAGTGTGTGTGTGTTGAAGGGATGTGTCGGTGTAGTCTTCACAGAGGAGTTGTTGTTTTTGATCAGCGAGCAGAAGAAGCGCTGTTTTTGGTGACTTATTGACTCGACTTGTGTGGTTTTTCTCTGTTAGTTCTTGCTGCAGGTTGCACTGTGTGGAGCTTCTCTTGTTAGTCTATGGGGTCTGTGGTTTTGTGGCCCCGGATGGGAGGGTGCATTTCTCTTTTTCCTGAGGTAGGCTGCGTATTGAGGTTAGCGGCACAAAGCTAAACATGGAGGAAACAAGCCTGATATGAAGGCTGAAGCAGGAAGGCCGTGATGTGAGGTAAACAAAACAACACGGGTCAGGGGACTTTTTTTTCTTTCTTGTGTGTGTGTGTGTGTGTGTGTGTGTGTGTGTGTGTGTGTGTGTGTGTGTGTTTCTACGTCCGCTCCTTAAAGGGCACCAAAGCCTGGTGATTTGAACATGTTGAAATGTGCTCTAATTTTATGACTTCCGGTGGATCGCTCGAGCAGCTCTGCAAGAATGTTTTATTTTGTGTGCAGATTAAAAAGGACAAAAAGGGCTCCTAATGAAAAGCTGATTTCTAACATTGAATATTTGTTATTTATTTTTTACAAGCTGGTTAAATTTTGTCATAAAGTCAAAAAAAAAATGGAACATTGTGTGAATTTCCTCTTTCTAAACACATTTAAATAAAGTAACCAAGGAGGTTTTATTGGTCAAAACCATCAAGTTTAAGGTTACACACATTTATTCATCATGAAGCATGTTTTAAATGAAGCAGCTGATTCATAAAAACGGGGAATCAGTCCATGGAATAATATCGTTCATTACTGCAGTGATCTGTGAGGTCATTCTGCAGATTTATATTTAGCAGTATGATGATGAACTTTGAAAAAAAATCTTGAATTCGGGTTTCTATCATTGAATGCTCCGAACATTTGATTATTATTATGTCTTTTATTCAAACTCGAAAATCAGTGAGAGCATGGCCCTCATGTTCAATGACGTCGAGCAGATAAAAATATTAGAATAGCAGAGAGGACTCCTATGATTCCCCAACAGCCTCAACGTGATCTTTAGTTATTGTATCGAGATGGTGAAAGTTATACATACTGGGCCTTTAAAGTGCTTTGTAGTGAAGAACAGGTGGATGGTGCAAAGAAGCCAAAAGTAGATCGACTAACATGGAGGAAATGTGAGGCGGTAGCTTCCGACGTGCAAGTCTCGTCTCACAGAGAGAGAGGACCATCCAACTTTTCTATACAGCATGCAATGATGGGCTCTGTAAGCATCACCTGATGAATCTACCTTCAGAGTGGGAAAACTGCGTCAAGGTGTTTTAAAGTTGCAGCAGAAGCATGTCTGTACAAAGTATCACCGTTATCTAACACAGAAAAAACTCACTTTCCCACCCAGGCAACTTTTTTTTCTGTGTTGTATGATATCAAATCGAACAGGTTTAGATTGTTTTAAAGAAAGGTAGCTACAAACCTGAGCCCGTGCACTTTGCTTAAAATTTGAAATACAAACTGAAATACAAATATTTAATTGATTCAATAAATATAAAAGTATATGTGAGGGCTGCTGTGCTCTCTGCCAGTCGGTCTTCTCTGCTGAGGTGAACACTGACAAGACATTTGCTGCATTTCATACCAACACCAGGGTGGTAACGATGACTGATGTCATGATCAGGCCTGACTGAAACTAACAACATTATTATAGCCTTGCCAGACTCTGCAGCTACAACAGCACACACACACACACACATGTAGACACACAGGTGCACACACCAAAAGCTGCTGTGTGTCACTAAGTGTACAGAGCATTGTGTGTTTTGGATGATCTTGTCGAACATCATTTTTTCTTTGCACGTCTCCGCTGCTCAACAGTTCTGCAGAAATATCATCTATTCAGCGGAAAGTGTCAAAACGATGTTTGCTGATAACATTAGATCACATTTCCTATCTCAAACCGACCTTTATGGAAAGATGTCAAGCTTTAATTTTGCTACAGGTTATTCAAAAGGTTTAGAAAAATTAATAAAAGGGGAGTTTATTGTGAGAATATGAGGACTTCAGTATGATTACTTTTTTAAATATATAATATTTACATTACATTGATAAGTCAGGTAATAAATAAACACCTCATGGTTCAGTCTGAGATGTTGGGAGTTCTTCATAAAAAGCTAACAAGAGTTTAAAATGTGCACAATCATTGGACACCGTGCATCACTGTGTCTTGAGATTTTGTGACTTGTTGTAGACGCCTTACTCATCACTGTGATCTGTACAATTAATCTGATGTGCCATCCTTGGAGGTGTGCAGGTATATACACTGGCTGAGTCTTGTTTATAATAGTCTTCTTGGTTTGGTTCCCTCTTTATTATGTTCAAACCTCCAAAGAACCAGAAGCCACTCTGCTTTGAGCTCATGTGATGTTTTTAAACTGTCTGTTCCCTCTGCAGGGAACTTTCTTCCCAAAACGACTCCAAACTGGCAGATCTCATTTCACTTTTGCTGGATCTTAAATGACAAAAGAAAACGCGAGACCATTGTCTGTGTTTCTAAATTGTAATCTGTGATCACGACTCATGCACTTTAGCTGCACATTTTAATTTCTTTTTGCTCTAAACATGTTTGAAAACTGTTTCTTAATCATGTAATGTTTATCATGATTCTGCCCTATTGGCCAGGTCATCCCTGTGAAAGAGATTGTGACCTCAATGGGTCAATTACCTGTTTTAATAAAGGTTAAAAAAAGACACAAAAACATTGACTAAGTATGATGTATGCTCTCTCATGCATTTTAAGGAATGTAACTCAAGTATTTTTTTGTATTTAGGGTTATTGGGAAAGACACTTACTAAACACTGTGAAGCTACTTAGCTGGAATATCTCAACATAAGTTCCCCTTCTTTTCACACAAATTGTGTTTCTCCTGAAGCCTAATGTGTCAAAACCTCCGGAGTAAAGAAAGATGTGAGGTGACATCATCAATTATTATGGGTGAAGAAACCAGTCCATACGTCCTTTCAGTGCAAGTTCCAGTTTATTTATAGGAATATTTACAGACAGAGAGAAAGAAAAGGTGACTCTTTATATTCCTCTGTTGGTTGCACTTGTAATTAATACCAGCAGAGTTGTACCACCAAGTACAATTAGACCATTACCTCTCATTAGTGTTGTGGAGAGCTAATTAGTGCTGAGGTCTCGGTGTGCGCTTCATGGTACACAGGAGATCAACCTGACTAAAATGAGTTGTAGGAAAGTGGAGCGTTACAAGTAACAGAAAAATGAAACGGCCAGGTCATTGTCTCCTGAGTAACTGAGTATAATTTTATGATAAAATAATCTCTAACTGGATTGGATTTGCTCACTTTGTGGCCCGAAAAAACAGAGTAAGCCTGCTGTAATGACACCCAAAAAAGGAAACACAGATGAGATAATTTCTGATTTTTTTGTTTGATTTTTACAGCCTCATGTACACAAAAAGCAAAGAATAATTTAAAAACCTGGTGTAGCTTTTCTAACCATTACACAACGGACCTCAGCACAGCTTCTGCACGGATGTGTTGCAGCATAAATATGCACACATCACACGAACTCATACCAGGAGTGTTCACTCGTTGTCGCAGCTCATAGACAACAGTTTGTGGTTGTTAACAACATCCCGGCAACTTTTACCACAGCACAGCATCTTCCCTCTCCAAGACAGGCTCATGAAAAACCACAAACTATATCCTCTGTTTTCTGACAAAACAGGAAATATTCTGTTGCCTTTGGCTGTGAGAAAAAGATGATGAAGGGGTTAAAAAAAAAAAAAAGGTACCAATCTTCAAACAATGCACTTGTTGGTTTCCTTTTCTTAACAAAAAAGTACTTAACTGCTGTCAGATTTGAAATGTTAAAGATCAAGTTAACTCAAAATCTTCAATTTTAGATTTTTAGTTTCAATGTAACACTACAACATCATCGGCGTAGTCGTCTACTTTGCACATATTTAATAACGTTCTTTCTTTACTGCATTAAACATCGGATCAGAAAATATCATAATCAGAGACTTTATATCGCTTAATAATAATTCACAGGCATTCATTTTCCATTCCTCTTTAGTGTTCTGGTGGTTGTATTGCGGGAAACAATAGTTTAATCTCATCTTCTCTGAAGGCGGTCCTGTAGTTGAATATAAGTCGACTAGAGGACGAACCACTATATGATGAGTAAAAGAGGAACTGTGTTGGGTAACATTTGTATATATCTGGCATATATTTCATATTTAGGGTGTTTGTGGTGGCGAGGATTATATATACTGATATACAGACACTCCAATTTGAAGTTGCTGGATAATAGAGTACATGTTGCATTAGTTTGACATACTTGCAAAATACCTGTCTGTACACACTTTTTGATATATATATTTTTTTTACATAGAGTCATATAGGAACATACATAGAGTGTAGAATAATTGGGAGTCATTAAGCCCTCTTTCATTTAATGGTCAAGTATCTTTGTGTACGGCTTTATTATCCACCAGGAAGTAGCTTTAAGGATAACTCCAGTTTATTTAGTTTAGTGGTTAAATAACATTTAAAATCACCAAGGTAATTGCTGAATTCTCTGAGTGTGGTTAAACTGAGACAAAAAAAAAGTCTGTAAGTGCGATAAACAGACGGTCATATGATCATGGTAAAGTATAAACAAGCCACAAGAAATTCAACAAAATATCACTGTTTAACTTACTTTGAACTTCTCCTGTTTTCTTGTGAATTTCTGAGTAGCAGTCAGGGGTTTCCCCCCTCGACTCTATTATGTGTTAGGGACTGTTTTCAGATATCAGCCACAGAATCAGGCAGAGCTCTTCGTTAAATAATCCGCCTTTCTTTAAATCAGTCAACGATGCAAAAACAAATCACAACCCACGCCTTGTGATTTCTACACTTTCTTCATCTTTGTGCCTGGTTTTTAAAAGAACGTGCAACATTTTACAAATAAATACAACAGAAATAAAATATATGCTGTATAAATGTCTACAATGAGTGAGAAGCTCGAGTTCCGCTGGCTGTACTGTTGTCGGGCCGTGTTTACATGGACGGGACGGCCTTGAGTAAAAAGCTGTTTTAGTCAAGGACTAGAGAAGAAGAACATACTCACTGATTATTTGGATGTCACATAGTGTCTTTAGATCGTGGTCATTCTGTGTCGATTTATGTGCAACATGAAGCTGTGCGCTACCCAAAGTGTGCTAACATTAGCATGCTAACACAACAATCAGTGTTAATGTCTATTTTACAGTGTTGTTGTATTATGTGTGTTATTTCCTCAAATCCTAACCAGGTACAAGGACTGCAAATTAGCCATGGCTACAGGTCCTACAGGTTAAAGGCTACATGGCATCAGTTGCACTTCAATTAGATGTGACAATGCCCATGCTTTTCATGTTCTAAAACATTTTTCTTGAATGATGAAAAGAAGTTAATAAAAAAAACTTTAGCAGCATTATATTAATATTGAAGAAAATAGAGAACTGCTCGGAGTGCCTGGTTAACTAGGTTAGCCGTTAGCATGCTAGCAGCAGCAGTTCTGCATCAATTTGAGTGATGTTTCGCGCACAGTCTCCATATCCACTAAAATAATGTCCAAATAGTAATAAACCAGAGTTATCCCTTCATAATATACCGTCTTGACGCCCTGAAAAACTCACTTTGTTTTGACCTATCAAAGGAAACTTGTATCCCCAGAGCAAAGCCTCTGCAGAGTGTTTGGACTCAGAGTTTTGATCAAGAGTGCTTCAGGTGGGTAGAAGTTAGGTGATGCATACCTTGCATCATATCCTACATCATCCTGCAGTAGCAATCATCGCGCTGTGTGCTCTCATCTACCTCGTTTCATTTCCTCAGTAACTTCAAACCGGTGTAAATGCATGGGTGTGTGGACGTCCCCGACATTAGAAACTGCACATGTAACTGAAACCCTAAGTGAGCTGACATCAGTGTAACTTTGTTTTTGTGTTTTTTCTTTCAAAAGAAAGTTTCACAAGCAGATCTGGAGATAAGACTTTGAGAAAAACTGAACCCATGTATCAAAAGAGCAGAATTGTCTTTGCTGAAACCCTGCAGAGATAACTTTGCTGACTGGAGATTATGTTCCTGGTGTCAGATCTCCAATTTAGAAATACACTTAAAGCCTGCAGCTTCCTCCTCAGAGCAGTCCAGAAATCTTCATCTCCTGCGGCCGGTTGTGTGTATCCTTATGTTGCTGTTTTTTGTTGGGTGGTCTGGGCAGTCGTGACATCAAACTGTTTGAAAAGTCAGATCTTTAGGAAGACCGAGTGGAATCCCAGGAGAGAAACTAAAGTCTTTGTACAGAAAACAATCCCATGTGATGGGATTTATATCTCCATAACTCCTTTATATACATCAGTGTACAAGCACACAGGAGAAAAACCAACATGAGACATGTTGAGTGTTTACATTTGCAAAAATATATCTCCATATTTTTTTGCCTTACAGATTGACAATATAAATAGTAAATAATCAAGGAAAATATATATGGGGACTGAAAACGGATACATTTTATAGGCTATGCTAACATAAAGTGCTAAGATACTTAGATTTTTTTTTTTAACAGGCTGCAAGCAAAAGGTATATTCTGAGCAAAAAAAAAGTTTTCTCCACTTGTAAGAAGATGTATCAACATCAGTGCCCCGCCCTGCAGGGCATCATCATGATTCAGTCCGGTGTAAAACTGCCGTCAGGCTCCTCCACACATACTTTCACATTCATGTTCCCCAGCTTGTCGGTCGGTTTGTGTAAAGATGATAAGATGTGAAACTGGAACGTTTTATTCTTTCTCAACTACCATGAAAACATGCTTTCTTGTTTCAAAGAAGTGAAAGTGAATTAGCATCACACCCTGATCAATAAGACGTCAGCCAGGCTAGCCCCTTTCACACCTGCACGAAACTCCTCCAACTTTTGGGGTGAGCTTGAACGCATCCGGCAAACATTTTCACCCTGATCTCATCTGGACTTTCTCACTTGCTGTCAGATCAACCCCGGCCGCTCTGTAGCTGTCGGGGTTGATGCATCCAGTGCAATCCTCGTGCATGTAAGGAAACTGCTTCATACTCTTTTCTGGTCAACAGTATGTTCCTTTCCAGTCTTGTGGGTATCCTGTGCATTCACAGTAGCTTGGACAGTCTTGGACAGCTTTTGTTAGCTTTGGACTATGTTGCCATTTCCTTGTCATCCTCATGTCCTGCCTCCTGAAACCCCCTCCCCTCGTTCGGGTCTGACAGGGAAAATGTCCCGCTGTGAAAGAGCAACTCTGGAAGATTTCAGGGGCAGACCGTTCCGGCACTTTCCCGAAATTTCCAGGAGTGCGTGCGTGAAAAGGGCTAATGTCAATCTTCTAAAACTTCAGTATCAAAATGTTTAACAAAATGTAAATCCATCCGTTTATTTTAAGAAGCCACCTTCCACCAGATGACGATAAGAATCCTTCTTCAAAATCTTGTAATTTGTGAAAATAAAAAAATTGTCCAAGCAGGTGTACAGTGTTTAAAGCAGTGTGGGGGAAAGAAACACGCCTCAGTTGTCCCTGATCATTAACCGTAACACTGAAAATAACTCTTTGACATGCAGAGCCCCTGAACCGTCCCGCTTGCCTCTCGCTCCTCGTCTTTGGCTTACTTTGCTAAATCAAAGTGTAAAAACTTACACTGTGAAGCGGAAAACAACACAACACCTGAAACTGCCTGAAACCACACAACAAGACTCGTAACAAAACAGCAGCAACCAGAGCCGGTCATTATACAGGCAAAGCTTTCAATAAAGGACCCATCCTCACAAAAGACGATCGTGTTTTAGAGCTGCCCAAAAAATAACTGCGCACATTTTGCATCCCTACAGACATGCCCTCCTCAAATGGATCATCGCCACCGTGATTCTCTTGGTTGTGACTTCTCTTCCATCGGTCCGGCTCTACCCATGTCTCTTACATAATCTATAAGAGGAGAGCGCAGATGTGTGCGGGCTGGTTGCCATGGCGATCAGATCTTGCTGTTCTCCAGGTGGGAGTCAATGTGCTTGATGAGTGCGTCATCAGGGTAACCGACGGGGAATATCAGCTGGCAGAGGGGGCAGCTCCGCATGTCGCTCTCCTCGGTCTCCATCCAGAGCTGCAGAGGGAAACACACACACACACACACACACACACACACACACACACACACACACACACACACACACACACACACACACACACACACACACACACACACACACACACACACACACACACACACACAGGTGGATGTATAGTTAGACTTCAGTATCAATCACACGTGGTACTAAACTTACTCACCTCTCTGGATTGTATTAGTCATCCAGTGGGAGGAAACAGAATTACACCACTACTTTGTGAGTGAGCTCTTCAGACTTACACAACGAGGTTTTCTTATTTTACAGTACAAAAGACAGACGGGTAGTAAATCCAAGTGGAAACACTCATCCATGTACTGATTCATTGTGTAAAATAAGTAAAATCACGGAGATAAAAATAACTAATTAGAAGAATGGTTAAGCAGTTCTTTTTGCATTTTTTGATTAAGAAATAAGAACTAAGGCTTTTTTTCAACATTTGAGTTAAAGCGTAGGTGACAAAGCAACTTCATAAAAATTAAATATAATTCCTTATAGAGAACAGGAATGACAATGACGTGATTTTGTAGGCCAACCCGGAAGTAGCATCTCCATGGGGGCCTAACGAGAATTCTCCTATGGGATTTGTGCATTGGATCATTGCAGAAAATAATCTCTGTGGCTAACGCACGTTTCTGAAGCGTAGGCGTTTTGTTCAGCAGGATAATCTTCACAGATGAACGCCACCTTTATGATGTTTGAAGCGTTAATGTGGCCGACAGAAGTAAAAAGCTAACGTTATGCTACAAGCTAACTACACCACGGTGGGATGATTGTGACGTCACTAGCGTTACGCTTCAGACGATCTCCGATAAACTAATCCACGTAGTTTAATAAATAGTTTACTGACATAATATTCACCTTAACATAAAGATTAAACCAACAGGAGACAAAATCCCCGTTGACTTTTAGATGTTAGACCCCATGGCGCTCAAATGCTAACTTACTTCTGGGTTTTAGGACTCATTCCTGTAGCGCTCTATAGGGTTAAATTAAGTAAATACACCCAATTGTTTCAACTGGAACTTACCTTGATAACATATCTCTATCTGAGGGTCCTATGTGTTAACGTCATGTGTTCTTCTAGTTCTTGTTAAAATAACGATTGTGACCCAAACACAACAGGGGGATTAATGTGTAACAACAAAATGTCAAAATGAGACTTCATAGATAAATCTGGGGGAAAGAGGACTCCTGCATTGCTCGCAACTCCTGCTCGTCGGACGGTTCAGGCGTCCATGTTGTCCTATCCCTTACGTTCCTCACACAATCCCACTTAAAAAAAACAGCCTGAACCTTCCCTTGAAAAGTATAAAAGCATTTTGGTTCAGCACATTGTTTAAACTCACATTGATAGAAGGCCAGGACTGAGCGTGCTCCGCTGACAAGTACCCGGGCTGCGGGTGGCAGCTGAGGGTGTTGGACCTCTGAGGGATGGGGAAGGCCGAGCAGGACGCCGGGCCTCTCATGACACCACTGGGCACCGCAGAAGACAGCACGCCCAGTGTCCGCGGTGGGCTGATGGGATGTGGGCAGGTCCACTCCTCCTCGTCTTCGGAGGACTGTGGGGGCTGGGGGGCCGGTGTGGAGGAGGAGGGGGCTCAAAATGCAGGTGGGCTACCTCAGAGAGCGGGAATGGCATTTCCCTGGAGTGGCGCATGGAGCTTTCCCCGTGGCCCCCGTCTCCTCCTCCGCCTCCTTGATGGGAGGACGGCGAGCCTCTGTGCTGCAGTCCACCGTGAGGAGAGCCCATGTGCTGCGTCTGCTGTTTTGAGTAGCCGTCGATGTAGGGGCGAGGCTTAGGCAAGGTGGAGACGGGGTCCAGAGAGAAGCGGGGCGGGCACTGGTAGGCAGAGGGGTCGGCGACCTCCGAGTAACTGCGGCGGCCTTGGAAGCTGGCCCTCAGGTGCTGGCTGGGCGGTCGGCAGGAGTACGAGGCCGGCCCGTTGTTGACGTCCAGCAGGGGGGAGCGGCGGTGCATGTCCGGGGAGAGGCGCTGCAGCGACGGGGAGCGTCTCGGTTGAATCGGGGAGTGGTGCGGTTGGGGTGGGACAGGAGAGTGGCGCTGTGAGATGGGCGAGTGGCGCTGAGACACCGGAGAGTGACGCTGGTGGTGGATGGGAGAGTGACGCTGGACTGAGGAAACAGGAAAAAAAAAACATTCAGTCACAGAAAATAAGAAAAAAACAATCCAATGCACGATTTTAAACATTTAAAACCCCTTTAGTGTCATAGCATGTTCATGCAGACCTTCATTTTCTGACTTAAAAACACTTCAGGTTAGACAGTTCACCTCTAAATAATTAGACACTCCAGCTTGCACATCTGTTCGTCAACAACATGGTCTTCTACTCCATTGAAAACCTCACCAAGCCCACCAAGCACGAGTGTCAGGATTTTTTGTCTTTTCTTAAACTGACAATGCGGGAAGAACCGAGCAGTAAATAAGAGAGGTCCTTTGAAGAATGGTGCCTTTTTATGACATCTGATTACCATCTGACTAAGTGTATTTTAGAGTTTCCTTTCTTTGTCCTTCTTTTCATTATTTTTTTCATATCAATAACTGTCTTCATTAATCCAAATTGATTTTTATTTTTTGGAAGATGTGCAGATAAGATCCGGACCGATTAATTGGCCAGACGATAATATCGGCCAATATTAGCATATCAAGTGGATATCAGTATCAGCTAATTTATCAAAGATATGCAGCAATATTACTCGATTTATGGACCAGTCAAATAGCTTTTAATTTCAGTTTCATTGTATTTCACTACCAGTTCTCTTTCTGACTGTCAGGAGCAGATTGTGCAAAATGGATTACGACAAGCATCATCACTGGAGCAGATGGGACAGTGGTTAGTGTGCACGACCCGTGTACGGAGGCTGTAGTCCTCTGGGCGGGCGGCCCAGGTTAAAATCCGACTTGTGGCTTCTTTCCCGCATCTCATTCCCCACTCTCTCTCGGATTTACGACTCTATCCTCTATCCTCTATCCTATCTCTCCAATAAAGGCCCAAAAATCCCCCAAAAAATCTTTTAAAAAAAAACAAGCTCTCCAGAGTGCCAAGTGGTGACGCACGTACATGCACAGTTAGTTTCCAGTTGAGTCACCATCTTGTCTTCTTTATACCTTTCCAAGTGTTTGATAACTGCATTTATGGGATAAACGCAATGAATGTGTGTGTGTCAATAGCTATCTCTACAGATCGAAGAAAGATCCAAGAGAGATATAGGCTGATTTATCGGTATCTGATTTTTTACTTTCTCTAATATCTATATCGACATCGGCCCCAAAAATCTCATATCTGTCGGTCCTAATGGAGATGGAGGCAGTTCTGAAAAACCTGAAAAGACGCGTTGTCCATATGTATATACAGTCAACAGGCCTGATACACAAAACCAGTGAAAGAGTTGATTTACCAGTTTGGATTAAAACAACCTGATTTGTCTGCAGAGCCATGACTTCAATCCAGAAAACTGGAGAGCTAACAGGCAGCTAGATTTACGCTCTTCTGTCTTGTCGTGGCATTCTCATTTTCAGCTGTTCATATAGTTTAAAGGGAAGGGACAACAATAAGTGGCCACATCAATCTAGCTGCTGACATTTCCTCGCAGAAGGAAATGTCGGTCGTATTATTCAACAAAATGACACATTCTTTTTTTTTGGTATTTGACATCAGAAGAGGTTTTTTTTGCGGTACTTTTAACCAAAACAAATCCCTCTCCAGATGCATGATGAGATAAGGAATGTTCCTCTCTGTTTTCTTTTTTTTTTTTTTTAAAGACTGAGATCTGCACGGGTACATTAGGTACTGTTTGTGTAATTACAAGATATGTTGATGAGTCAGACACCGTTTCAGCTCCACTCTCCATATCAAAGAGGAAACATCATTCACGGCCCGTTTTGTCGAGGTGTTAAAAAGGGGGGGCGTTTGTGCTCTGAAGTGCTTTTTCAGCCTCTATATTAAAAGAAAACAGTCAAAGAAGAGCATTTAGTTTGTGCTTATTTTCACTGAATAACACCCGGGAGACTTTTTTATGACTGCATATTAATTCCCGTCTCCCGTTTTCTTTTCAACAATCCATTGAAAGTATTTGTTTTGTTGTTAAAGATAGCCACGAGGCAATCAACTCACTTCAAACCATCATGACTCTAATTACACAGAGGAGCCGTTAAAGTCACATTTAGAGATAAATGTGACACAACGCGACCCGGGGGAAGAGGCTTTTTTAAATTTCGCTTTTCTGTGTTTGCGTCGTCAGGCTCAGTTGTTCATTGATTCGTGCAGCCGAGTGTTTCAGTTTGTTACATCTCCAGCTCAGAAAAGGAAGTGCATGTGAGGCTCTATGGTTGGTGAAGGCTAGGAGGTGTCGTGGTGAGGCATCTGCTGTGTGCGTGCGTGTGTGTGTGTGTGTGTGTGTGTGTGTGTGTGTGTGTGTGTGTGTGTGTGTGTGTGTGTGTACATGCAGGAAGAGAAGGTGTTGCTTCTGCTGTGTTACATGTTTGACTCTTTTTTTTACTTTTACTTTTGTCCAAAAAAAAAGACCATTGTAAGCTTTTCTTTTCATGCCATAAAAAAAAAAACTATATTAAACATTTTGTAATATCCTTATTTTAGATTTGATCAGAGGGAAGACTCCTTCCAGCTGGTCTGAGCGGAGACATTAAATCAAACACAGGACAGAAGAACACATCTGAGACACTCTGAGTGTATAAACTGTGAGCTACTTTGTAAGGCTTAATATTGTGTTTTGATTCTTTGTCACAAAGTGAACTCTCGACTAGATGACATTAAGAACTACAAATCTATCCTCGGCTTTAAAAACAAAATCTGCTGGAAGATACTCATCTCTGTAACCACTGATGATTTTATATCACTGCTTTTAACTTTCATAATACATTTTCGGTGTGTATGTGATGAAGCGCTCTGCAGTGTTACTCTGTTATTTGTGTAGCTATTTTTACTGATGTTTTCTTATGTTGTAGCACTCGAAATCGGTCACTTTTTGAAGGTCTCGTCTCAGAATCTAAAGCATTTTTACTCGGCCTTGTCTTGGTCTCAGACTGGGTGAACTTGGGAACCACTGATGGCTATTTTTCCAAGTCATTACTGTAATAAGAAGGAAAAAGCCTCTTCTAAAAGAACAGATAACTTAAATTCATTCATAGTCTGATTTTTATCCTCCTGGTTATGTCCGCAACCTTCCCGGTGTTACAGTCAAAGTCAAATCAGGATTTCATGCATTAAGTTGTGTTGATATGTGAAATAAGAAACCACAGTTAGTTCAGACTGTGTGTTCTGATTGGACAGTCGGCATGTGACGGTAGAGTGACGTCGATGGGACTTTTGACAATAAGAGTTGAGGGATGATTCTTTTTATAAACACGGTTCCTGTAGATGCTAACCTGGACTGGCCTGCTCCTGTGAGGCCTTCCTCAGGATCTCCGTCTGCTTGGAGCTCAGAGCCTGGAGGCGTCCCAGCTCCTCTGTCAGCTCCGTGTAGGCCAGAGCCAAGTTCACCCTGCAGGAGGAAAGCCAAAAGATGTCATGACGTCACAACAGAACAATGTGAGAGGGACTAAGCATCAGAAAGTGGACGATCAATGGAACGTTAATCAAATGCTTTCTTTAAGATGTATGAAACTACATGAGCTCTGCTGCCTCGCGGATCAGGACGGCTAATTGAGAGGCCTTTTTTTTTTTTGCATGCATGCATGTCACTGCGCATAACGGGAGAGCATGAAATCAATCACACCATTTCATACAGGATGTGTCATGACTCTCTCTCTCTTTCTCTCTGGGGCCACGCTGACAGAGCAGCTCTATTTCCAGAAGCGTAAACACAAGAGGTCTGCTTTACATGCTTTACTGTCATGTCGCCATGGCAACCAGCTGTAATCCCACATCACAGATAACTGCCATGCAATCATCATCTAAAAGAAGATCGGAGAAACCATCTGTCTTTTAAGTTTAGGTGGGATGAAGAGAGGTGTTTTACAGGACATCAGACATCCAGATATAGTGTAGGCTGCATAACTGCCGAGCTCTGTATTCAGATAGAGACATGTCACTTTACGGTTAGTCACTGCAAACTACCCTCAAAGATCTGATAACAACGCTTATCTTAAATGCCAAACCAATTTTTTGTAGACTCCTCAGTGCTGATCTGAAACATAGTCATTCCTGCACAACAGATGGTGTGAGATAAACCAGGCTAGGTGAGACTTCAAATCAAATCTGATAAGACAATCGAAGGTTCATCATGCCAGTCTTAGTAACATCTTGTTTATGCAGGAGAGCGAGTTCAGTTAGCAACTAAACATTTGCAGCTTTAAGAGCGGGGAAGTAGCTTAAGTAACTTGATGTGTTTGTGTGCGTCAGTATTTTAATCTTGTTTCTTTTTATCATACGTTTAAATCCTTTTTAGCCTTTTGTGGTTTATTGCAAACGATCTTGTGATTTGATGATCTTGCAGTTTTTTTTGTGTGCAATTTCATGCTCTACTTGATTTGTATTTCCTGTTACCTGTCCTGTGTACTGTCTTATTTTTTCATGTACACAAGTTGGATATTTATTTTGCATTAAAGCCCGGGGGCAAAGTTCCCCATAAAGAATCTTTTCTCTCCTTATCTTTTCAGCTTTCTTTACCAAGTGTGTCTTAAAACATTTCACTTTTATTACCTACTGTACCACGGTTGGAAATTCACTTTTTTGCCGACCTGCCACTGTGACTCAAAAATCTTCCAGTCACTATTTCTTATACCACTTCATTTTGTAATGACATATCTTAGAGTATCCAAGAAATGTTTAGACTAGAATCTTTGTCTCGCTCAGAAACATTTCCGCCCCCCTCCCCTGGTGCCCTAACCCCACCTTCCTCCTCCATATGCTGAATTTCTGCACCACTCCATCCCCCCATCACTCCCTCCCTCCCTCCCACACTGACTCTCAACTTACCCATACACACTTAAAGAGGACATATCATCCTCCTCTTCCACCTTTTCAAACAGTCCCCTGTGGTCTAAATGAAAGACATCACTCCTCTGTAGAGAGAATAAAAATGAAGGGCCTGCACAAAAAAATTGCTCTAGGCTGGGGGTGGAGTCTATGGGTGGAGATACCAGGGGAGGGGAGGGGATTTATTTGACCAGAATCCCACTGTGACATCACAAGGAGAGCAAGTTTGAAATGGAGCATTTTTCTCTGTGTTGTAAGACTTATGCAGACCACAAACAAAGGACTGGATGGGTTTATTTCACATTTTGTGGGTCAGTAGACACTCAGGTTACCCAGATATATGTTCAGAAACACTGTAAAGGTGGATTTTGTATATGTCTCCTTTAAGTTAAGCATCAAATCACAACATGGCTGAAACTTTTAAGCACAGCCTTTGACCTCGCCCTCTTTTCCTTCATTTATATCTCTTTTCTTAAAATACTTTTTTTCTAGCTTTCTACAGCTTGTTTTTTTCAACATGTTTAGAAAATGTTGCTCTGAACTTTGTGTGAAATGCACTAGAAAATTAATATTGTATTTTTGAAGAAGGTTACAGGAGAGTAGCATGCCTTTAATAGTTCATTAAAGATAAAGAATAAATTTCCCTCATGAGGACAAACATTGATACAAACACCTGATAAGAAAAGCAGCAGATGAAAAAGATTTTGCATGAGTTGCAGATTGTTTGATCTCAAAACACAACACCAACCAAACCGTACCTCTTGATTGAACTGGACCCGTCTTAAAGAGATGGCGTCAGATAAAATAATGACTCACAACACACACGCTTCTGCTGATGTGCAACATTTGCAATAACAGTAGGAAACCTCCCGAAAGGGGATATTTCATATAATAGTCAGACTTTATGATGCGTGTGTAGTCCTCTTTAGGGAGGAGAGACACTTCAATGCATGACTTCCGCAAACATTTTTTTGAATTTTTTTTTTACAACATAATGAGGATGAACGCTGTTTGGAGGGGCCCCATGTGAATTTTCTTGCCTTGGGCCCCCACAGACTCCACAATCTCCAATGTGCACACCTCCACTTTTCACTTTACTAAATTGGTAGGAATTCCTGATTTTTGGTCTGAGCTCTTGACTGATTTTGTCGCCATGTTTTGTGTTGTTTTATATTTTTTTGTGTTTTTACGTCGTTGATTTGTAGATGTTGTCCTTGTGTTTGTTGTCTCCTGCTGCGGGACAAACCCCCCCCCCCCCCTTTGTGGGACAATAAAGAATCTGAATTAAATAAAGGTTCGAAATCAGATGAAATCATTCACTGTGATCGAATATTTATATCTTAACCAACACATGTTTCTCCCTCACACACTCTGTATAACCCACGCTAACCCAAATGTCTCATTTTCATTTAATCGTGTTTGCATTGTTGTAAAATTTGTAAACGCCATGCAGCACCAAAAAAAGAAGTAAAGAGACGGACCCTGCAGCCTCCCAGCACGGCAATAAAACACACTGACTAATAATATCAAATACGTTAAGCAGCAGCCTCACACACTAACTCCACTGAGTCATCTCACCGCTGTGTTTGCCCGCTCCCTAATGAAGATGAACACTCCTTTTAAACGTCTCTAAATCTAATCTAGTCTGCACCTCTGCACATCATCACTCTTTTTAAACACACACATACTGAAAAACGTCCACAATGTGTCGCTTTTACAAACACTTTAAAAAAACAGATTTATCAACATTGTGTAACAAAGAGCTTTGGACACTATTTAAAGGAAGTTATAGGAATTTCCCAAAAAGCTGAGAATTACTCATAGCTTCCACTGTTTCGGCCTTTTGAAGCGGGCCCACCTTGTTTTTTCTGACTCAGAGAGAGTGGGGGTATCAAACCCCCCTTACATCCCCCACCTTTTCTTTTTTTTAAATGCAACATCCTCCTTTTGTGGTGCAGACTTAAGGTCATCTTCACTAGAAATGGAAGCGCTCCTACGTGTGGCTTTTTGTAAAAAAACCAAAAAACCCTGCAGAACCATTAAGAAGGACGAGTAATAAGGTGACTTACTGGCGTGGTGGTCGGAGCTCACACTTTGTCCCCTCGCTATTCTCCGGTTACTCTCATCTGTGTGTGTGATTGTGTGAGAGTCTTCTTTCTCTCTAAGCTTAAACTGAATTAAGGGACACTTCCAGATTCATGCAGCTCTTCCTTTTTCACACATACACCGTCTCACTTTTCATGTTTGTGATTTGTGTTCTGACAATCTGTGTCAGAGGCCGCAGGTCGTACAGTAACACCTCTATGTCTTAGAGCAGATGTGTGAACTCAACTGTTGCCTCTTTCTTCAGTTCTCTTGTTTGTGTTGAGCCTAAAAATACTTTGTCAGCATCGTGTTGCATGTATTTTTTTTTTTGGGGGGGGGGGTTGCTTGATGTGTGTAGCAGGCACTGTGCAGGTACTGTAAAGACTTGCGGTGCGTAGGAGGGGTGTGATGAAGCCGGTGCAACATTGATGAGAGCTTTGTGACGCGGAAATCGAGATAATGTAAGGAGAGTGTGGGCTGATATCTGACCCCAGATCACTGAGGAGAACTGCATCTGCCTGAGAGATCTAGCTGCTCTTTGTTTGTGCTGTGAATAAAAGATGGACGACATGACAGCTCCAAAAAAAGGGAAGCCAAAACATGTCTTGCTCCCCCTACTGGCTGTCTGCGGCATACATCATAAACTAGGGGCCAGGGCCCCCGCATGAAAAATTTGGTTGGCCCCACCCAAAATCCTATTTTCAGAGGATAAACTTGATTTCTATTACATTTAAGTGTGAAAAATCGCACATAAAGCCTTTAAATTGAAAATCAGTACTTTGCACATTTCACAAGACAGGGGTGTCAGAAGGGAATGAGTCCATAAAAAATGTGCTTTCAAACTCTTGCATAATGCCGAACCTGCAATGAACTAACTATGTTTCAGTCACATTGGTAAAAAAATTATTTTTGGTACATGTCTTTCTTTTTTTAGAGTCCTTTTTATCCATTTTAATTCTTTCATCAGGTGTGCATGCAAACTTTATGCCACCCCTGCCCCTATTGGGTCACCCCCCCAGTCAGAAAAGTCTGGACACACCCCTGCAGTCCCATTAAAGAAGCGGCCTCAGGGGGACAGCATGGTTGTGAATGATCTTAAAGCCTGTCTCTGTGCGGTGGTGTTTACTGCAAAACGGACGTTCATAAAAGAAATGAACCAACTGAACTTCTTTCTGGCCTCCTGGAAGGGGGCAACGTTGTGGGTGGGGGTTGGGGGGGGGTTGGGGGGGGGGGGGGGGGTAGTGGGTGGGGGTGTTAAGTGTTGGAGGCTTTTCACACTCTGCAGTACATACTTCAGAAAAACTACTCAGTGCACTTTCAGCTGAGCGTAGAGGTGTCAAACTGTTCTCACACCACCAAGACACAGAGCAGCAAACATTCAGCTCAAAGTGTTTCTACAGGGAGACTTTACGTCGTCTAGACCGAGTCTGACTCTCAATGAAAGTCTGAGACAGGAAAAATACATTTTAATGATCACGT